TATCCATTTTAACAAACGGCATAGGTTGGTACAGTCTAGTGAGCATATCCATCTTAACAAACGGCATAGGTAGATACAGTCCAGTGAGCACTTGGTCACTATGCAAGACAACTAGTATACATACATCTTAACAAACGGCATAGGTAGGTACAGTCACCGTATCCTCTCGGCCAGACGGACGATAAAATATAGCGTCGCAATGCACGCACACGTTAATACCCATTCACAGCATAAGTGTGATATACATCGAACAACCTATTGCACCCACAAGCAACCGCTGCACTACCAAGTAACCACCGCACCTTTTCGGCTGAGCGGATGATGATGCCCCTCTCGTCGCCTGTGAGGTCTCCTTGCATGGTGTGTGTCTTGCCTGAGCCTGTTTGGCCATAAGCAAACAGGCAGACGTTGTAGCCGTCGATTGCACTCTGCACAAACTGAGACACCTCGTCGAAGACTTCTTCCTGTGGCGGTAGGAGGGTTGTATGTTGTGCTGGGTTGGGTTATCTGTGTTGATGTGTCGTGTTGTGTTGTGTTGTGTTGTGTTGGTGTGTTGTGTTGGTGTGTTGTGTTGGGTTGTAGCTATTTGTGTTGGGGGAGGGAGAGATATGTATTTGAGTATGTTGTACAGTGCGATGGTATGTTGGGACACATGCTTGTATTTTGTAGGTAAAGAATCTTAGATGTTTACGACAGCAACTTCTGCAAACACGGCTCTCGTGCGATGCGATGAGCGAGTGGTGTATGGCACTTGGTTGTTCTGAAGTGCTTTTGCCCTTATAATTTTAGGGTTTAGGGTTTAGGCTAAAAACCCTTATCAATTGCCCCTTTGTATAGCTGGACAGACCCACATCTGTGCGTTTGAAATGCCGCGTGCTTTGTATCATATTGATATCCACAATATATTCTGGGGATCTAATATTTCGGAGAGCCATGATTGGGTACACCGCCGCTATGTACACACCTGTGTAGAGTTTGGTTGGAAGACACGGTCAAAGGAGAAGGGCTGCCTGTTGCCCCGTGCGAGTAGGCTGAGACCATATCCGTCGCCCTTGTAGTTGATGGGTGGCTGGTCATCTTCACAGCCATTCTTCAGCGGCCGTACACGCACGCACACACGTATTTTGCCCTTGAGATCCTGCACCTGGTTGTGTAATTTGCGACGGGCCATTTCTGTCGCAAATACCTGTGGTGGGTTGGGGATGTAGGGTATGATAGAGGATTAGTAGCCCGTGTGCTGGTTGGTTTGTCGCCCATTGCAGCTATTTGCGACGAGGTCACACATGACCGTTTCTTAAAGTCGCATACAAGTAATTCAATAGTGCACCAGATAGAATACGTCGCTATGGGATGTCAGTATCGCACACTTCTTTGTGACGAATAGACAATGTCTGAAATCCTTAACTACACGCATTTGTGCTGTCGTATTGGCCATTCGACTGGACATTGCATTTGCTTGTAGATCGGACTTATACATACATACACACATAATATATATATATATATATTATACGAAAACACACACACACTCGCACACGCACACGCACACATACTCAAACACATACATATACATATTGTATATATATATAGTCACACGTACCTGGTCAGTTAATTCTGCTATCCTGGCCCTTGCTTGTAGCAGATTTTTTTGCGATCCTTCGAGTGATGCCATTTTCGCTTTCAGATTCTGTATGTAAATGTTAATTACAGCCGAAATATGATAACCCAAATGAACGTAGCAGATAAAATTCTCATATATGCACACTTATGTTATTGTTTTCAATCCTGTAGTTGATGTCTGGAAACCACATGTTCGAATTGTCCTGTCGATAAAATTTGGGTCGGATACTTAGGTACATAGAAACAATTAAAACTTTCCGTACTGCACCTACAAGATATTTATGAAAATATTGGTAGAAATGTACGTATACATATATTTATATATATATTTAGACTACACACTCATCCTACCTCGTTCTCCGTAGTCACTTTGCACAGGCGCTCAATCTGCGCTGCATTTGTAGCTGTGCCACTCTCCGTTAACGTGTCCTTCAGAGTGGACAGTTGCGCTGTGAGAGCATTGCTCTGTGTATTGGCTGCTTCGAAGGCTTTTGCGACGGTGTGGTTGCTTTCCTTCAAGGTGGCCTTCTCTTCTTGCCACGACAGTTCTTTGGTCTGCAATACGAAACGTAACGGTTAGAGTTGTGTTTAGGGTTATGTTTATGTAGAAGGTTGCTACACTTCTTAGAATAGTCTCCATAGAAGGTTCCAACATCTCTTGGGTTGAGTGACTGGTTGCACGAGGGGAGATTGTATGCGAAGGTTAAGGTTGACAGCCGAGGACTACTAAACACCAGACTATGAAAGCTAGTGCTAAACCCTAAAACACCAGACTATGAAAGCTAGTGCTGAAACACTAAAACACCAGACTATGTCAACTCCTGCATCTTCGTTTGGTACTCTCATCATTGCAATGGCACGTCGAAGCCCACGGACCAATCGACGCAGAACACCCACACGACATACACGACACTCCCAAACAAGTCACGTTGTATATATATATAGTTGTATATATATATAGTTATATATATATATATATATATATATGTATTTATATATATAGT